GCATCTTGGAAAAAGCATTGCAAAGAATCAAAACTCCAGAAAAAATGATCAAGATTATATTGAACCTCAACACAGATCATAAAAACAGAGTAATTACGTGTCATGGTTAACAGATGAATACTCACCAACCAATGGCATAGACCAAGGCAATACAATCTTCCCACAGCTCTTGCGCATATATATGATCCTTTGATCACAAAAATAAGCGAACTCAAAATAGGATACAAGTTATACAACACAAGGTACAACCAATAGCTAGAAACAATCAGAGACCCTCAAGTCCAAATACCTGTAGTGGCATATATGGATGACACAACATGGATCACAATGAACAAGAACAACATACAAAAAATACAAAACATCACAGATACATTTGCCCAGTTTACAAATTTGAAGCTCAACCCTAATAAGTCAACATTATTGACAGTCAACAACACAAAAAAAGCGACATTGGAGTCCAACAATCACAAGATCATCAAAACACAGAGAGACGAACCAATTCGAATCCTAGGAGGTATACATCACACAATCAGGAAAAATGACGCACCAAAAGCAGATCATTCAAGATAAAATCAACTATACCACCAAAACACTCAAAAGAAAGCATATCACAGACAAACAATGCAGATATATACTCAATCAAGTCCTAATGCCTGCAATAGAATACCTGCTCCAAAACATTATACTGAGTGAAACAGAATGCCAACAAATAAACAGGAAAATTATAGTGGCAATCAAAAACAAAACCAACAAAACATGTACAAGTATCAACAGTGGAATTTACCTTTACACAGGATACAAAGTGTTTCACATTTATGATAGAATGCTTCAACTATACACATGAACTTGGATGAACCAAATCAACAGCAACAACATCATGGGACAAATAACAAGAGCAAGATTGCAAAGCCTGCAAGAGCAAGTATGGAGCACACAACCAGTTACAGTCAAGACAACAAATAATCTAAAAAACCTTAACAACAATTTCATCAGCAAGTTACTGACATTATTCAAAGAAATGACATACACATAACACCTAGTAACACAGCCCTGCAAACATCAAGAAACCTCCTGCTACATCCCATCGAAGAATATACACCACAACAATGGTACATCAAAAATAGAGGATCACTCAAAAAACACAAACTGATATTTGTTGAACAAGTGACTAACACAACACAAACACACATGATTACGTGGACACAATTCAAAGCACAAGAAAAAGTCAAGCACATTGGCAGATATCCAAAATGGTTCAACCAGCTGACAAATTTTCTTGCACAAGAAAATATAATCACAAATGACAGGAGAATTACCATCCCTAACCTGTCAACAAACTTGCTAACACAACATAGAACATCCACCAACATGACAATAAACAGAGGAGAATACCTAGCCACAAGTATAGATGGACAGATATACATAGGCAAAAGAACAACAAAACACTGACCAAACAACAATCACATCACAGCAACACACTTCATCCAAATAGCAGGAGACTCACCTATCGAAAAATGCACAGGATGCAACTTAAATACATGAGATAACAAAACAGGATGTTCCAGAAAACTAGCAACAAATGAATGCATTCCCCTACCAGCCAAGAAAACAAATAACAGCTCCGAAATCCACAGCTTCATAGCAATCCCCAACTCAATACACAACAACCTCACACACATTAGAGAGATCAACATACAACAAACAGACCCCTTATCAACAATAACAATAGATGACAACATAAGCAGCAGCCCTATCACAGCAAATCAATCAGAAGAAGAAAAGATCAAAGAAATAAAGAGGCTTACAGAACAATGGAGTGACATCAATGTGTACACAGACGGCTCTATGGATCCAACAGATGACAACAATATGAAAATGGGTATAGGTGTCATTATACAGAACAGAAACACAGGATGAGAAACAACATTTAATGCCAGATGTGAACAATTCCCATCTTTCACAAAAGCAGAACTGATGGCAATCCTCACAGCAATCAAACTCATCCCAACAACAGCCAATGTCAACATCCACACAAACAGCAGCAATGTGATACACATAATAAAAAACAGCAAAAACAAAACAATACAAATAAAACAACCTAACCACCTCACAGTTGCACAAATCCAATCACAGATCAATAGGAGAATAGGCAACACAACTAAAGATGGGTCCCTAAATTATTTGTGAGGACATAATTCAAATGTCCCTTATTATTAAAAATTTTTATTTCTATATTAAGAAATAAAAAAAACCACCTATAAAGGTTCTTTATAGTTTTAAGCATCTATACAAATTATTTCTGGAATTATGTCCCTATTGAAAAAGAGAGCTAGGAATTATGTCCTCTAGGGGATGTGGATGTAAAGGGACATAAATTTAATATGCTAAATACTTTAGGGACCCATCTTTAAACACAACCATCACCAAAGTCAAGGCACACAACAACGACATCATGAATGATAAAGCAGATCAAGAAGTAAAAGAGGGAAGAAGCAGTAAACACATTATACATCTCAAAGATTTTACAGCAACCAACATAACAACAATGCAATGGAAAGAATTCACACTAGACACAAATATTCCCAGATTCATCAAGAACATTACCAACACAAAGTGGATAGCCAAATGGTGCACACAAAACATATACAATGGCTGGACAAACAAAAAGAAGATCAAATATTATGGCAAAAAACATGGGAGAATCAACATCCAACAAAGATTACTGCAGCAACCAAATTGAAGACAACACTTACTACTTCACAGAACACAGCGAAGAAAATATATATAATGAATTCATATCAATAGCATCACAAGAAATAAGCTCAAGATTACAAGGAAAACAACCAGAGAAACTAGAAACACAGCTCAGAAAAGCACTACCACCAAACAAAAGCAATATTGAATACATAGTCAAGGAGGTAATTACAAAGAACCTCTACAAAACAATAAAACAAAGGACATATGAAAAATGGAAAAAAGCTATAGCCAAAATACAACAACAAGTCACAACAATTATACACAAAGCATGGCAACAAAGATGCACAGAAAATGCAGAATGGGAAAAACAAGAAAGGATCACACAAAGTGACAAATGAAACAGGAAAAAGAAAGACACAAGAAGATACACAACAACTGACCAATCAAAAGACCAGACACAGCTAACCAAACACATTCGTGAATACTTAATTAGCAACAGAATACAAAATAACAAACAGGAACACAACACAAACTTTAACCATTTAATCAAAAACTATTATATACAAGCTAATGGAGCCTTGGCACATTAGCTCAAGCCTCTGTCCTTGGACAAGCTAATAGCAACAAGCTGATATGTAAGTTACTTAGATATAGCTTTATTTACATATAGTAAACTATGTACAATACACAAAAATGTGATATGTATAAAGTATTTAAAAGTTAATAAAGCAAGGCTCAGCTGGTGTTTAAAAATAAAAAATAAAAATAAACAATATTAATTGAAATTAATAGATAAATACTTCAATAAGTGACTTCTTAAAGACTGCCAAACAAGCAAAGTTGTCTTTAATTTAATAAAGGTACCTTTGGAGAGTGAGCATATTTCTTTAATAAATTCTTTACAAGAAGAGGAAATCAAAAAGTCTGTTAATACTGTACATTGTAATGCTTATTTGGATAGACATTTAATTCATCTTATGGTTGATACTGGATCTAATGAAAACTTGATTAAAACAATTTTGAACAAAATAGGACATACTATTGATAGACCATCTAATATTAATTTAGTAAATATAAATAGAGAAAACAATGATCATTGAAAAAAATGAAAAACCTATCTATCAACATTAAAGAAATATATATGAAGCTGCAAATTATTCAGTTATAGTAGAAAACAAATAGTTGACAAAAACTAAAGGAGTTATTGACTTTAATCAAGAAGCTATTAATTTTCATTAAGAATTATGACCTTATATTATAATAAACAAAAACTTCATTGTGGAATTTCTTGTTGGAAAAACCAATATATGATAACCTTGACAATGCTATTGAAAAGGAAATACCTATACATGAAGGAATAACAATACTGTACTGTCATTGGAATTCTAATGAACAACAACAGCTGGTGCAAGGAAATAATCAAGTAATTCACATTGGAAACAGGAAAGAACCAGTTGAATATATTCAGAATTTGAAGAATTTGAAACTACCCTAGTTTTATGTAACTTATCCAATCTTTTCATTAAACCACTTACAAACAATATATTAGAATGAGAAATATGAGAAAAACAACAATTAATGAACCACCTGACCTGACAACTAAACAACAGCAATTGGATTAATTACTACAGGAATACTAGAACATCATTGCTAATGAGAATAACTCACCAGGACAAACTAATTTGATAACTTACTCTATTGAAAAGGTTCTGCCAATTAAACAGCAACCATACTAATTATTCCCAGATGAACATGATTTTTTGAAAAGAAGTTGGATCAAATGCAGAAAGAAAAATGGAAAAATAAGATTCTATGTTGACTATTGAAGGTTATCAAACATAATGCTTACCCTTTATCAAGAATTAATGAGATTTTAGATTCTTTGGGAAAAGCCAAATAAAATAGTTCACTTCTTTGAATTTGGCAAGTGGATATTGGCAAAGAAAAAAAAACTGCTTTTATCACCAAACAAGGAATATATGAATTTAATGTCATGCTTTTTGAATTACAAATGCTCCAGCTATTTTTCAATATCTAATGGATTAGATTCTCTATAATATTAAAGAAAACAATAATCATGAACAAATTAATTTATTAAAAAATGGTTGGAGACTTATAAACTACATATGGATTTGGAAAGCAAGGAAAATAATCTATGTTGCTAGGATTAGGACCTGGATCCTTGTGAGGATAACTTTTTGTCCAAATGGATGTGAAATAACATAAACTTGCCAAGAAAAAAGACATGAGTTTGAAATAAAAAGCTGACATTAGAATAGTACAGTTTAAAGGGCACCAACATGTTTCCTCAAGACTGAAATTTCTAAGCATAAGGTATCTTATTGATGAACATAAGCTGACATTCAACTGGCATTTATCTCTAGAAGAAAATTAATGAGACCAGTACCAATTTAATAACTCTTGACCATAAAACTGAAGGCTTTACAGTTGATTCCTTTGTTCTTGATAAAGACTTCTCAATTGGGATAATTGATTCCTTAATGATTAACTCTTCTTAATACCAAGGACACTCACTTCAAATAATTGTACAACCTAGAAACTTAAGTTTCTTTTGAAGAGTCATAATGCAACCAACAACTGTATTAGAATGTTCAATGGTACAAGCAAGTCTATTAACACAAGGTACAATAAAGGAAATAATTATTGGAATAAGGAATAGTAAATCAGCAAATAAAAATCAAAGCTTTTAAATATTGAAGGAGCCAATTTACTTCTTTTCAAAAGAAATTCTCACATGTCAACAATTATTCTGGGAAAAACAAACTTGTTTAAAAATAAGTGTATTCTCTATTTTTGATATACTCCTTGAGAAATTTCTCATACTATACTATTCAACTGCATCAATCAGAAAACTTATTAATGTGATGATCATGAAAATTATCCAATATATGCAACAATCACATTATGGTTATTCAATCATATTAATTAGGCAAAATACTAAAAGTTAAAAGAAATGTGTATAAAAGAAATATATCCAAATATACTCTTTAACAAATTCTGGGAAATATTACTGAAATGCTTAACTCAGATGACTTTATCTTTTAAAGAAAAGAATATGTAATAGAATGAATAATCTTACAGTAATATACACTATATTATTTTTTTAATTTTTCTTTATTTTTTTTAATTATTTTTAATTATTCTTTAATTGATACTATTACTATATTTATAGTTATTTTTAGTATATATTATTTTAAATAATTATTTATAGATAAAAATGTAGATCAAAATATTCATGTGATTCAAGAATAATCATTATACATGATGATATACTGACTCCAGGAAATATGTGCAATAATCATCAGGAAACCATGTGAGACACATAATGTCAAATGCCTATCATTTGATTAGCATTCATAATAATTGTTTCATATTAATTAATGTTTATCTTGATGTTCTATCTAATGTTTCACTTTAATTGTATATAAATGATAGTGTATTAATGAGATATTGTGAAATATTGGATTAATTATATATTTAAAGGCAGGATTTTTGATCTTGAATAAAGCAATTCAGTTTGAAAACCTATAATTTTTGATATTTAGATTCCTTTTATCTTAATAAAATATTGATTATTTTATTAAATATACTTGATTATAAAGATTCTAAGAATGAATCTTTGAATATTCAAGTCAATATTAGAGAAACTAGGACATTTCTACTAATATTTTACATTTTTTTGATTAAGGTTAGCTTTGGGATAATGGATAATCCTATTTAATCTGAAATTCTTTTAAAAACCTTTACTTTGGACACATGATCAAACTATTTTTGATCATAATATCAAGGACACTTATTCTGAATAATTATACAATATAGAAACTTAAGTTTCATTTAAAGAGTTATAATATAACTAAAAGTTGCATTAGAATGTTCAATGGCATAAGCAAGTTTATTAATACAAGGTATAATAAAGAGAATAATTTTTGAAATGAGGAATAATAAAACAGCAAGGAAAAATTAAAGCACTTAAATATTGAAGGAATCAAATTATCTCTTTGTAAAAAAAATTTTATATGTTAACAATTATCCTAGGAAAAACAAACTTGTTTAAAAATAGATATACTGTATTCTTTATTTTTGATATGAAATTTTCTATACAATACTATCCAACTGCATCAATCAAAAAAATTATCAATGAAAATTACCTAATATATATCACAATTGCATCATATTTTTCCAATTATATTACTTGGTTAAATGTTATAAGTTATAAGGAATGTATATAAAAAGAATATATCTAAAATATATTCTTTGGCAAATATTGAGAAATACTATAATAGAATGGATAATCTTATAGCAAATATATATTATTTTTTTTAATTCTTCTTTATTGTTCTTTAATTAATACTATTATTATACTTATTTTTAAATAATTATTTATAGAATAAAGAATATAAATTAAGATATCCATATAGTTCAAGGATAATT